AAGGAGGGAGGGAGGGAAGGAGGGAGGGAGGGAAGGAGGGAGGGAGGGAGAAGGCAGAGGCTGATGGCACAAAAGCCCAGGGCCAGTGTGCAGAAGGGAGAAGCTCCGCACATCACATCCCTCAGAAGAATCAAGTAAAACGAGGCACAAAGGTGGCCGCAGTACTTGGCACTCGGGATGCCATAGGTGGTCTTAGCGAGAGCACCTTTGGCGGAGTGTTGGGGCCACTGAACACTGCCAGGGAAGCCAGACATTGTCTTGTTGAAAAAGAAGTATGGCTCGAGGGAAAGGGGGAAATGTGGTTGGAAAAGCACAGAAGAGAGGATAGGGAGAGATATGCTAATAAAGTCCAAATTATTGGATTCTTACACTCTGCATTGCATAGTTCTCCCTCTTTGTACAGAGGCTCCCAAATGATCATCTTAATGACTGTACCATGATCATAGATAATATTTAATGAACACTTCCTATGAGACAAGTACCTATCTAATTGTAAGCCTTATACCACGTCTATAGGATAGACAGTGTTATTATCTTCATTTAAAAATGAGAAAAGTAAGCGTTAGGGAGATGAAACCACTTGTCTGAGGCAGCAGAGCTCGTGAGGGGTAGACCCAGAGTACACACTCAGGCAGTCTGAATTCAGTCATTTTGTGCTTAAATATCACACTACGATCTGTTGACACAAAGGAAAACATAATTTACGACCCATTTTCCTGGTGTTATACATCCAGGTGGCTTCTGCTCTTTTGCTCTGCATGTAGCTTTAAATTTCTGCTGAGTTAATTAATATGATTCAACAGCCAAATTTTCTTTCAGCCTCACCTCATTGACCCTCATTTGTCAAAAAGTTGAGCGAGTAGCTCCCAGAATGCTGTGGGTGGGTGGGCTGATTTACAAAACCAAATACTGTTAGTCCCCCAAAAAAAGGGCAAGAAAAAGAAAAAGAGGCATTCTTCCAGGAAATCCACCTGGTTATATGCTGAAATGTAAATGCTTGTCCCAAAGAACCTTGAAGGAAAACATGTAACTGATGATTGAGACGGGTGAGTGCAGAAAACCATGCTGAACACAGCATTCTAGTCATTTCACAATATTTTCAGAGGCTTTTGTAAATACTTTGCAAAGGAGATGAGAAACACTGCGCCTAGCAAGGCAGAGTTTAACCCACAAGAACTTGAGCAACAGTTGACAAAGGTTCAAGAGCATGTATTTGGTATCTGAATATAACCCACTAGAAAATAATTTCAGAACATGAAGTCTTGGAGATGATATTCTTAAATTAGCATTGCCACTGTGAAAGCTTTGTGTCAAGGAACTTGAACTCTCCAGACACCCCCAGCCTTTCCAGAGCTATCTTTCAAAGACTCTTCCGGATCAGTGCTCCCCAGCATGCCTGACCGAGACCCAGGTGGGAAACACATTTTGGCCCAGTATTTGCCTTTGAGTGTACTTGTGTGCGTGTACACACATACACTCATACACACACAAAATAATATTTATCCTCACCACGTGCAATTTACTCTGATCTTTTCTATCTTATTTAATTTCTTAAAAATTCTGTTCTTAACACACAAAATTGTTTCATGAGTGCTTGAAGAGTTGCAACCTACAGTTTAAAATCTCTGTTCTAAAGGATCTAAATCCGGGCTCTCCAGCCCTGTGGGGCGTGGCTCAGCTGTTGAGTATCGACCTAGGATCCAGGAGATCGCCATTCGATTCCCAGTCAGGGCACATGCCCGGGTTGCAGGCTTGATCCCCAGTCCAGGGTGCAAGAGGCAGCTGATCAATGACTCTCTCATCATTGATGTTTCTATCTCTCTCTCTTCCTCTCTCTGAAATCAATAAAGATACATTTTTTAAAAATAAAATAAAAATAAAATAAATAAATTTGGGCTCTCCAGCCAGAAAAATTGCACAAGGAAGAATCTGCCATCAGTACAGTAGGAAGTATATGAGCTTTAGAATTAGACAGACTTGGGGTCCAATCACACCTCTCAAGTGAACAAGCTGTGTGCCTTTGGGTAGATTAGTTGATCTCTCTGAATCTCCATTTCCTTTCCATAAAACTCTGGAACTGCTGGGAGAATGAAATGAGAAGACACATGTCAAAACACTTAACCCAGCACTTAGTGACACTGAGTACATTCATTCATCCAACAAATATTTATTGAGCATTAGATGCTGTCCTAAAGGCTGGGCACACAGCAGTTCACAAAACCAATGACACCTCTGCTTTCATGGAGCTGGCATCCTAGTTGGCAAAGGCAGATGCTAAGTAAATAAACATAGAATATGTCAGGGAGTGATAAGAGCTGTATTTGTTTCCTGTTGCTGCTGTAACAAATCACCATAAACTTAGTGACTTAACACAACACAGATTTAGTATCTTACAGTTCTGGAAGTCAGAAACCTAAAATGGGTCTCGTTGAGCTAAAATCAAGGTGAGGCCGGGGCTGCATTCTTTTTGGAAGCTTTAGAAGAAAATCTGTCTCCTTGTCTTTTGCAGATTTGAGAGGCAGATTCACTGGCTTATAGCCCCCTCCCATCTCCAAAGCCAGCAGCAGTGGGTTGAGTCCTTGTCACTTGGATCACTCTGCTTCTGTAGGCATGTCTCCTTCTTTGACTCTGACACTCCTGCCTCCTTCTTTTAAGGACCCATGTAGTTAGATGGAATCCACTCGGATAGCCCAGATTTATCTCCCCATCTCAAGATCCTTCGCTTAATCACACCTGTAAAGTTATTTTTGCTGTGGAAGGTAACATGTTCAAGGGTGCCAGAGAATAAGGTGTCATCTTTGAAAGCTGGGGAGAGGGGATTTTTCTGCCTACTGCAAGAGCGATGACAAAAAATGAGGCAAAGTAAAGGGGACTCCTGCCTGTTGATGGAGTCACCAGCCAAGGGTAATATTAAGAACAAAAGTAAATAAATGTCTTTTTGTTTGGTATTTGCAATGGCAGAAGCCAGCCTCCATTCAGCATCCTAGGGCACTAGAATGGCCAGAGGCATGAGACTGCCTTCAGCTTATACTGGGAAGACACTCTTCTCAAATTCAACCAGTTACCTCAACTCCAAAGAGGTTGTGATCTGGGATAATCTGTGATTTTGGGTAATATGTCCCTTGAGCCTTGGGTTCCTGAGCAAGTCATTGTTCCTGAGTGAACCTAGGGGATAGCCAGGTATCTACACACCAGGGGCCCTACGTTGGTCTTACCCTCTAGACACTTCTGTTTAGTAATTTTCCAGGATCTGTCATCGTTTTCATTTGTGAACTCTGGGCACCAAGTGGGGAAAAAAGAAACTCTAATGAAAGTTGAAAATATAGATTTGTGTTAGGATATGCCCAGAAATGCAACAAGGGCAAAAGCCAACAGCCTGACTGAGTTTCTCTGTGTTTGTAAACTTGAGCTGCACTGAGGTCCCCAGTATCTACTGCATGAGCAGCGGGTGTCCTCTATAAGGTGTCTCTTCTCCTTTGTTTCTAAACTCAGGGACTAGGCAGGGCTGGGGAGCCTTTTTTCTGCCAAGGGCCACTTGGATAGTTAAAACGTCATTCGAAGGTCATACAAAATTATCAACTTAAAAATTAGCCTGCTATATTTGGTCAAACATTTAACTCACCCCTAATGTGATGGCTAGGATGATTTAATGGGCCATATATGGACCGAGGGTAGGAGGCTCCCCACCCCTGGACTAGAGAGTCACTTACCCCGTCACAGCCACATTGCCGGTGCTGTGTTGTTCACATGAGCAAAGGAGCATAGAAGCTCCACATGTCTGTGCTGGCCACTGGTCTGCTTTCATATGTAACCTTGGTGCGTTTTTTTTTATTTCAGGGAAAGCTCGATGCCTTGTGGGTCCTACTGAGGAAAGGATACGATCGCGTGTCAGTGATGCGTCCACAGCCGGGAGACACGGTAGGGTTCCATAACGGTGTCACACACACAGTCTTTTTCTGTCTCCCTCTGTCTTTGTCAAGCTAGAATAACTCCGGGGAACCAAATCCAGCGATTATCTCATGCACTGACAAATAGATACTAGTTTACAAAATTCTGTGTTTTTATAAGACGCTGAGTTTTGACTTGCCTTTCTGAAAAGGATTTTGACAGAAATAGGTTGGGTTTAGCTCCCTAGGACCTGAACTTGATTTATTGGTAAAGAGGGGCTGGTTCTGAATTTGGACCAGGCCAGGAGAAAGGCCCTCTGCTCCCCACCACACTGGGCAGTGGTGACAAACAGGATGCCAGGGCCACAAGATGGGGCAAGGGAATGGGACCACAGAAAACTCCACCATCTTCCAGCAGCTGTTGGGCCCAAATGGTCCAAAATCATAGGAAGACCTTCTATCCTGGTAAGATTTTCCCCAAAACTGTCCAGACCAAACTTGCAGCATCTCCAACGAAGAGGACTTAGAAAGGGAGAAGCCAGCAGGCCTGAGAAGCCATCTGCCCATGTCTTCATTCTGTAAATGAGGAAACAGGTGCTGAATCACTTGTTCTGTTCCGATCGTATCAACACTGGAAATAACCTCAGTTCTGCTCAGATCACGTCATTGCCACAATTTATAAGAGCAAGTCTCTCTTCCATAAGTTTAACAGAGCAAATCTTGGAGCCAAATTCTCTCTCAGCTTTCAGCTGCATCTTCCATCTGCTTCTCAAGGAATCAGGCACATTCACCCAAAAGCAGAATGAAGGTGTCTGATCTCAAGCTCCCTTCAAAGCAGGTAGCTGGGTTTGAACCTCACTTCCTCCCTGGCTGGAAGTTAACTCCAGGCAAGGCACTGAACCTTTCTGAACGCCATCTCTATAAAGTGGGTGATACTAACTACTTCATAGTGTGGCTGGTTGGAGAAGGTAATGCTTATAAAGCATCTGGCCAATATTGAACACATAGTCATGCTCAGTCAATGGCAAATATTATTATAATTATTTACATTGTGCTTTTCTACTTCCTGTGGAGGTTTTATGCAAAAATTCAAACCATATTGCAACCAGCGTGTACCGAATGTGCCCATATCTTTACTGTACTCACTCTTCAACACAACACAACTAATAAGCGTGAGGGCAGACCCTGTTAGGCAGGCCTCTCTCCTTCGCACTTGCTGACAATGGACGGTTTGTGGCTGAAGGGATTTGGTCAAAAGTGTCATAGTTTGTGCAAGCTACTGCCCAATGAGCTGTTCCTGCTCCAGGTTGTTGCAGGGAGAGCAGGTAAGTATGACATGAAAGAAACCAGGTCATAGAAATGCTTGGCCACCTTGACCTTCATGACATATGGAATTTGTATTTTTGTCTGTGAAGGTCAACAAAAACACACTGTTAGAGCCAATTTTAAAGTATAAACTCTACAGTTTAGAGAAATGAGCCCAGGCCATAAACTTTACACTCAGGGTGGTATTTGGCCTTATAAACCATACATCTGGTTTCTGTGGAAAATTAATTTTTTTAGCATGCATGAGACTCAGCTAACAGATTAAGAAAGAAATAGTAAGCTACCTACACTCAGGGTCAGAAGTACTATTTTTTGTGACAGAACATGCTGGTACAAGCCCATTTCAGAGCAACTGAAAAACATCTCCACTAGATCAGTTAATATTTCATTCTCCACTGACCAGTCTGGCCCAAACTGATTCATAAACTGGGTCAACCTGAGAAGGGGGAGGGGCTTGGAAACAGGAGGGATGGAAAGAAATATTATCATATATAAGATAGAAGAACCGACTGATGGAATAAATCCAGCAACAACGAATGAAAACATAGAATTTCTTCTAATAAATTACACCTAAATTGCATCTCTTATTCACTTCTTTTGAGTGATAGTCTGTATTAACATCTGAAGATTTTCTGTATGCTTTCAAGAAACACAACACCTCCTTGAGTCTCCATTCTCCAATCACATAAAATAATCTATTTGAAGTCCAGGAGGACTGAGAATTAGGACACAGTTGACCCAGGTTTGTCACAAAATTATTATGGTTGTCCAGCTTCCTTTCCAGCGGGCTTTCTTTGTAGAAACCCTGCTAAAATTTGAGACACATGGGAGAAATAAATGCAGAGAATTGTGCCCATGTAGTTATGACGACGGCTGCAAACATCTTGATGCACATGCAGAGTTACACAAGGAAGGTCACAGATCAGTTAGGAAGAGGAATTCAAAGCTGCCCTGTGGCAGCTCAGAGGAGAATTCCAGGGAAGGGAAAACTGAATTGTAGCTCTGTCCATGAGCCTTTTCTGCTTTGTTTTGCATCACCTTAAGAGACTCTCAGCAAACCTACATTACTTACATGGTGATGACTCTTGAGAATTCCTCAGCACTGATTTATGGGGCTGACCACATTTTCCATAAACTCAAAATGACTGCATCCAGGCATGTGCTCATGAACCAGAGTCACAGGTTCTGGATTTAAAACAAAAACAAAAACAAAAATCACCTAATTACATTCTCAGTTCATTTCCAAATTCTTTCAAATCGCATAGACCTCACAGAAATCTGGCAGCTCTTCCTTCTCTGTTCCTGCCTGCCCCATCCTCCCCACGGTTAACCCACCCCAGCCCTACAGATGCAGAGTCAGTCTGCCCAACAAAGCTTTTGAGGCTGCTTGAAGGGCTGAGCACCTACAGGCCCCACCACAGAGCAGATGGTTGGGGGAGGCCTGAGCCCAGAGCCACACCCTTCCCTGGGATGGGTGCCCACCTCCTCAGAGCTGTCCAAGCCCCAAGTCAGGGAAAACATGAATGGGACCACAGCAGGAGACCTCTTCTTCTTTCTGCCTGGGGTGGGCTCACAGTCCTGTTTTTCCTTAGGGCCCACCAGGAAGTCCTGGGCCAACATAAAAGAGGAAGTGCCAGAATCAACCACTTAAATAGCAAGCCAGCAACACATCTGATCCTAAAATTCAAAGGGTTCACTAAGCATATGGTATCCTTTGCTTAAACCATCCCCCTTCATGCTTCTAGTACGTAGTCACCGCTGTGCTCTTTCTAAAATACAGTCTCAACTAGCTATTCCAAGGCTTCAGATTTGCAAAGATGAAGAAAAAGCCCAGAATCCTTAGCTTGATCTAGAAAGGCCTCCCTTTCCCTTCCATCTGCTACTCATTCAATCACTCCGTATCGGCCCTAGCCATCTGGAATTGCTCACTAACCCCTGAACATGCTTTTGAGTCTCTCTGCTTTTGCATATTCTGATTCCTTTGCTGGAAATGCTTTTCCCATCATCTCTACCCAGTAAACTATCACCTTGGCAATATTGTTCATTGTTCCCTGTAAACACAAAGAGTTGCTGCCCAGGGGCATTGCCAACACAGGGTGCATTCAAAGACTAAGCAAAATGTGGAAATTAGAACCTGTGTCCTGTGAGCATTTTCCAGGATGGCCCCCAAGACTTCTTATACACCTGGGCCACTCTTTGAATTTAGAAGGTTTGCTCACATTTCAAGGACAAATGGTGGAAGGGATTGAGAATGTTCATCTGGGAAGGACATAAACGGACCCTCAGAGCTTTTTAACTTGAGGGATAATCTTTCCATGTCACCACATATCCTAGTATAATATCATTTTAATGATCATGTCATAGTCTGTTGTCTATCTGTGACATAATATTTCTGCATGTCATCTCTTTTTGGACATTTATTTCTAAATGGTTATTGTTATAAATAAGCCCTAATCAGTATCCTCGTTGTCAAATTAGTGTGCACATTCATGTATGTTTCCTTAGAATAAATGTCCAAACCAGTATTCAGAACTTTAAAGCTTTGATACATATTGCCAAATTACCCTCCTGAAACACTTAGGGGTTAACCCTTATGTCCACACCTATCAAAAGCCCTTCTCCCCAGATGTTCACCAATATTATTTATTTTAGCTATTTGATAGGTGCTAATTTAATTTGCATTTTTTATCACTGAGGTGAAACAATTTTTTTAATGTGTATTTTTCTTTTGTCAATTGCACTTATGTGCCCTTGGCCCAATTTTAATTAGATATTTTAGAATTAATTTTTATATGTTCATTTGCTCAATCCTTCTTTATACCTTTATTCATCAAATGTTTTGAGAAACTGTTATGCATTAGACCTTGTGCTATGCATTAAGTATACGGTGCTTACCTTATGAAACTTAAAGTCTAACATTATATAAAAAGCTGAAGTTTTACCTAGTTTGTCATTTACCTTTTAACTTTTAAAAAATATATTGAAGCCCTGGCCCATAGCTCAGTGGTTAGTGCATTGGACTACACACCAAAGGGTCTCAGGTTTGATTCCCCATCAAGGTCACATACCTGGTTTGTGGATTCACTCCCAACCCCAGTCGGGACACGTGTGAGAGGCAAACAGTCAATGTGTCTCTCTCACATCATTATTTCTCTCAACACGTCTCTCTCTCTTCCACTCTCTTTGAAAAGCAATGGCGAAAATATCCTCAGGTGAGGATTAATTTTATATATATATATATATGTTATCTATAATTTCATAGTCAAATCTATTGACACAATAGAGGAATAACTAGCCTAGCTTAAATCTAAATATTAAGCCCCAACCAATTACAGAGACATCTTTCCCAACTGCAGATAATTCTGTTCCTGTATTACTAATTTCAAAGCAGAAATATAAGGAACTTCACAACCCATGGAATTTTGTGGAATCCAGCGATTTGCAGCCTGCTTGCACAGTGTGGTCACCTGGAGAGCTTTAAAGCACTGATGCCAGGGCCCCACCCCAAATGTTCTATTTAATTTGTCTGGGATGAGGTCTGGACATTGGGGTTTTAAAAACTCCCCAGGTGATTCTAATGAGCAGCCAAGGTTAAGAATCAATGATCTAGTCAAATTCCTTATTTTTCATCCAGGGCATCATCTTCTCTTTCCTTCTGGAAACAGTTTGAAGGCAACTCCCCATACACTTTAGAAACCCTATGCC